CGTAGCAGCTGCTCCAGCACCACTGGGCTCCCGATGTTGATGTTCTCATAATGCCCGAAGGTCGACTTCCAGATGGGGCCATAAATGCGTCGGGACATCAGCTGCGATGCACGGGAGCATGGCAGGGTGAATGGGACAGGGGGAGCACCGGGGCTGGATCAGACCCTCCCTGCCCTGCATGTGTCTGGCATGCTCTGCACCCATCCCAGGGACCCCTCAGCACCACCTGGGCCCAAGCACCTGCCTCTGTCCCCCCAGACTGGCACCATCCTTGAAGCACTCTGCAGATGGCTTGGGCTGGTATCTCCGGGCACATGTCCTCTGCCAGCACTAAGTACACCAGGCACAGACCCCCAGCACAGGCTGGCACATCCCTCACCCACCCCAGAGATGCACGGAGGGCCTGGTGGGTCTTTTGGGGAGGTGAGCCCAAGAGGGGATAGCAGGGACAGGGAAAACTGCCAAGCACAAGACTCTGCCGAGACGCAGGGCCGTTGCAGCAGCTGTTAGCAGGTCCAAGCCTCTCTGCTTCCAGCATGGCCCCAGCCATGATTTGCTCAACCTGGGGACAACAGTCCCCGCGTGGGTCCTTGAACCCCCCACCCGATAAGGGTGGTTAATGATCAGTGCTGGGATGGCAGCTCCAAGCTGCTCCCAGGGCAAGCTGCCACCCCTGGGGCATGACCCTGGGGCCATGGGTTCACAAGCCAGCCAGGGGACATCCACCAGCGTCAGCCCTACTCTGGGCTCTGCCAGTCGCAGCTCCCCTCTCCTTGGCTGCACCCAAGGGTGCCATGCTTGCCTCCCCGCTGGGGAGCACCCTGACCCCTGATCGCATCCCTCAGGGGCAGCCGGGCACCCCTTTGCAAGTGGATCTTCACAGGGCCATGTCCAAGGGGTGCTTTCCATCCCACCCAGGCACTGCCAGAGCCCCTGTGGAGCGGGGCCAAGCCCAGGGGGCTGTGGGGGACCTAGCAGGGAAGCCCTGGTCCCCGTTCCCCGCGGCTGCGGGAATGCACGTGGTACAATCTCCCTTGGTGACTGACTGCATCGCAGCCTGTGCCCGGATTCAGCTGGATTCGTCACCGCGGGGAGACGTTCCTCGCGCGTGGTGGCAGGAGGAGGGGGAGGGACAGCCACCCAGGTGCCGCAGGCAGCTTGCTGGGCGAACACGCTGCATGGGGCCATGGGCAGCCATGGCCTGGGCTGAAGCCTGCCCACCAGCATCTGCTGGCAGTGCAGGCCTGGGAAAGCAGGGCTGAGAGAAGCCAGAGCTGCCGGGATCTGTGGAAAGGCACCTCCGGAGTGCATGAGGGCATCCATCCGCACAGCCAGGCCACGCTCGGAGCCCCAAGAGCAGGAGGGAGCAGCCCGGAGCTCCCATGCCCACTCCCCGAGACCCCACTGCCCCGCGACAGCCCCTTCTCCAAACAGCGGTGCCTGGTGCTCTCCCGGCCGGTCAGAGCTCCAGGTCGCTGAAGGATGCCACCTGGCTTGTGGCCAGCCAAGCCCATTGCTTGCTTCATCGATGTATGACAAAGTGTTGACAGAAGCAAACACCTCAGCCTCTGCCTCCCCTGCCTGCCCAGACGCCATCTGCCCGAACACCTGCCCAGCTGCCTGCCCCCCAAACTGCAGCCCCTCCGGCTTGTCGCAGCTGGGGCAGCTCAGGCTGCCCGGGGATGCCAGGACCCCGTGAGCCGCCCCCCAACGCTTGCCCTCGGCTGCCCGGCCGGGCCGCAGGACG